TTTCTGGTATTATATATGTACTTGATATGTGCTATACGTCGATACTAGTTTTGTACCTTTTGTTAACATTTTAAATCGTTTTTTTCGTAATTAATTAGTATGATACAACCGGATATAAATATCGCTTCAAGCGGACGTTAAGAAAAATATATACCACGGCATTGTTTGGAAGAATGGTCACAATTTAGTCTCGTGAGTTATTTGTCCTTGTATGCTTTAGTCATTAGTATTAAGCTATTCACATTGACACCTGTGAAACGCTTAAGTTATATTGACATTAAACTATAAAAATTGATATAAAGGGAAACAAAATTAATTTTTTAAAAGAACTGGATTATTAAAACCATATTTAGCAGGCTTCTTTTATATTTTGCTGAAAGAAATTACACACCAAAATATACCTATAGAGGTAAAGGATATTACTTTTTAACCGAGCAGCCTGTGTGTGATTTTTAATTCATAGAGCATAATTAATTTTGTCTCTCTGGGGTGTAAATATGGTTGGGAAGAGAAAAGCTTTTTTTCACCAGCAGTATAAACCCTCTTAATTTATGTGAACCATATATTGCTTGGCATAAAATATTTTTCTCTTAAAAAAATATGGACAAAACATGTTTCTCATTTTAAACCTAATAAAGTAAAAAAATGTATATTAGGATTATTTATAAAAAAAATTATTTGTAGAAGGTAGAAATAACATTTTTGTTATATCCTTACGTTTCAGTTCTACTCATTTAGAGAGAAAAAAACAATAAATAAGGGCGAAATCCAATTACGGAAAGTAACAAATTCCAAAAAATAATTATAACTGACGTTAGAAACAATTTAAAGCTCACTACACACTAGACAGTGTACACAGATGGCCTCTTACGAGATTTATAGTTTTCTTATATACTAAAGAAATAAAAATAAATTGAATGGTTATAAATACTGGTAAAATGGCATACGTGTGGGGTGATGAGATATTTTAACGTATATAGATATTGTTTTCTGTAATTATCTATAAGTATCAACGCTCTGGAGTGTGCCAAGTACTGGATATCCTGTAAATAATCGCTATGTGCATATATATTTTTTGTAGTTTGTCTAATTCTGTACAAGTTTTGTTCCTATTTATATTGATTGTTTGACTGTTTTTTTTAAATGTATGATGTACCTTTTTTATTAATTTGGCCGTTTTGTATATTTTATATATGTATTTTTGTATTTCTTGATTTTTTTTTCATATACTGAGTTGGACACGAATAAATAAATAAATTTGAGGTCGACCGCAACCTAAGAAACTTCCTTTACAACTTGTTAAGTGATATGTTAAGAAGATTGTCTATGAGAAACCAAAATATTAACCTCTGTTTATTTAAAGAGAATATTAAAAGCTGCCATTTAAAATTCCTACTTACAGTGCTTTCAGATGGAGCGGACCTGCGCGGACCGTACGCGGACCTGAGCGGACCGTACGTGCGGAGCGTCCGCGCGGATATTTTTTCAATATAGCTCATCCGGACGGAGCATACGCGACCCATGTGAAATCGTTCATATAAACTCATGGTACTTGCTCGAAGTCGCGGACTGAAAACGCTGTTAGAAAGACAATTTCCCATGTTCTTCAAATTCAAAATTCGAAAAAAAAAAATGCAAAAATATACAATTTAAAGTGTAAGGCTTTTTATATTTTTTCATTAGAAAATAAATATTAAATCGCAGCACGAGTGTTGGAAAAGTAGATTTCTGATAAAAATTTGCATGAATATCGGAGGAATCGTAACAAAATGTTTCATAATTCATTTTCTGTCATGCAAATTTATATTTTGCTTCTTATCGATAAAGTTGGAGAGTTCGGTAAGGTTTGGTGATTATCAGTGGCGGATACAGAGGGGGGGCCCATGGGGCAAGCCCCCCCCCCCTAAAATCTCTAAATTGGGTTAAATATTAGCCTTTTGGGTTAAAAATGGCGCCCTAAAAAGCATATTCTACATAATTTTTTTATTTGGCCCCCCCTAAAATAAATTCCTGTATCCGCCCCTGGTGATTATACTTGAAGGTTTTTATTTGAAAATGATAGACAATGGTGAATTATGAAATAAGTAATCTACTTGAAAATAGAGACTGCTTAAAAATGAACAACCAAAAAAAAACGGTGTGAATTACGGTTCTATTTATTAATAAACACTCATTACCTTTGACAGATCGATTTACAGCTAGACTTTTTAGTCGATATCAATTTAATACAAATACTATAAGTTAGACTCAAGAATATTGAATGTAGGTCAAGAACAAAAAAATGTCTTAATTTTATTGAATTTAAACATTTGGAAAAATCTCTAATGTTAATTATTACAACCTACGTAGGAAAATATATTTTGAAAATATCTTAAAAATATTTTGTCTGGTGATATAAAATGTTACACGTGTACAGTAAATTGTGTAATCACCTGTATTGTGTAATGAATTTTTTATACACCAACATAATAGGAGGAAGGGTTTGCCATTAGTCGCATTGTTTAACAAGTACACAAGTGTATTGATTACATAGTATCTATGTTTAACTCGTTTACCAATACATATATGAAAAGGGCAAATGTAAACATAAACAAACTAGTCTTTAAATAATTTTCCAGACAACAAAATTCCAGTATAAACAAATTTGCTTTAATATTCCGGACCTTAGGTGACAAGTAAAGTTATTGTCGGTGGACAAAGATTGTTTAACTTGTCGATGTGTTAACTTTTCATTTATATTGTCATCACTTTTAGCAAGATTTGTTATAATAGAAAATAAAACATAATTACATAATTATAGAATCAAAGGTTATATGAATTGTGATTTGTTAAACGATCTGCGTTTTATTCGTGTGACCAATTGCACACACATGTTTCGAAACTGTTACTTTTATCCTTTTATGTGCCCAGTATACATGGGAAATGGGAAGTCAAGCAGGCTGATACAACGCATTTTAGGCAAAAATTCGGAATTCTGTTAATGCACGTGTGAACTAATACACAAATAAGACACATATGTATGTAGTATATTTATACTACTTATTTTTTTTAAATTTACTAGGAAAATTATTCTCTCACACCTCGTTGTCGCAAAGGATACACATCATGGCACTTTATTTCTTACTAAATGTCTGCACATAAAAAAATTATTAACTTCTGTATTTTAACAGTAAGCTAGGCGTATTAACCTCATATTAACTTTGAAGCGTTTGAAGTGTTTCTCTTGCAGTAGTCCACTGATTACATTCACTGGAAAATTTTTCGTGTAGTTTTTTGATATATAAAAGCCTATAAAAGGATAAAAGATAGCAACTAGGGCCACAAAACAAATATTATTTAACAAAAATATTTTTTAATAAATTAATTTTGCTAAAAAAAATTGCAATATTCCGATTTTTGGTTAATAAAAGTTGTAAAAATTATTGTCTAACATTGATTAATACAATATTTTTAGTGTTTTGATTTCGATAAAAGCCGCATTTATCGGTATAGTAAATCAAGATAGAAAATTGTTGACAATATGACCGTTAACTAGAGGGTTCCTTAAGTGTGCCTTATTTGTGTCTACAGGCACAATTTACAGGCACAATTATTTAAAAAAGTTACTGAGATCTCCTATAATAAATTAAAATTCTCAGTAAATTTATTCAAACAATTAAATTCAATTTCATTTATTTAATGTGTGTATTATTTTTTTGTTCTCAGAACTGCGACTGTCGCCAACGACACGACTAAAGAACCAATCAGATTTGTACAAAATTCAAACAGCTCTCAATTTTAAATTTAGTACAGCTCCCATTGGTTGATTGAAATGTCAAACTGTGTCGCCCGCGACATGACGTCGTTCTGAGAACGGGGCTTTAGACTAGTTGAAGCCATGGTACAAAGAATACAAGGTATGATCGATAGCGGCTCCAATTTCGTTCAGTTCGCGCATACCACCTGTGACGTCACTAGGAAAATAATGAATAAATAAAAAATAAAGAAAGTTGACAGGAGATCTGCATTTTTGGGGTTATGGTTAAGAATTGTAATTAGCTATCTTTTAGTAAAAAAAAGTAACTTTCTAGAGCAATATAGTCTTTATTCCAGTAGAGACGACACAGATAAACATTAGCATTTTATATATGTAGATAACGGTAAGACCTACGCTAAACGCTAAAAATAAAAATATTTCGACAGCGTATATTCAGAAAACTTAAAAACTATTATAGAAGGACCTCCAAAGCAATCAAATCATATTTTGAATATTAATACATATAAATGAAAATTGTGTATTCGTAATTTTAGTGAAAATATTTATAAAAGTGAACGCTGGTTATGTGGTCGTAACGCACTCAATAAACTTTTTTGTTGGCCTTATCCACTATTTTCCGAGGAGAAAAATGTATGAAATACTACCGGCTACGATGATTTATGATGAACGTTGAAAGTTCATTATTAGAGAGGATGCGTTCTTCTACTTCATTTGAAGAAAAATGTAATAAAAGTTTTCAAACATGCATATTAGAACAATTGATCTTAATTTTAAAATTTAAAATCTAACAGATACGGTCATAGCTTTGTTTTTTTTATCTAAATTTAGTCCTTTTTTTAAATTGGTTTGATCATTTTTTAACCTGTTACATTTTTTGTATGTCTTATTTTTGTTCTTCAAAATTAAAAACTTTAATAAAAAAAAAGAAAAACAATTATTGTGGTGGGAAAATGTTAGCAGTTATTACATCCCCTTGTATTGACGCCACGCTACGCCGCTGTTATGTTGATATAGAAAATAAATTTTATTTTTATGTACGAGAGAAATCTCTCCACGACAGATGGCACATCTTTTTGAAACACCCTGTATAACCAACCACTCCTGCTTATTATAGCTCTGTCTGTATAGAGGGACAATTTGAAAAGTGGCCACTTTAAAGTTTACTTTAAATTTAAATACAACTATAGGCAATAGATACATGTAGGTACCAGGTATCTGAGTATAATTTTTTGAATTGATTCAGGTGATGCCTGCCATCCTTACGAACCGTTTAAGTGCCCTGGAGATGGAAACTGCATATCGATTCAGTATCTGTGTGACGGAGCTCCAGACTGTCCCGACGGATATGACGAAGACTCCAGGTAAGTAAGGGTTAAAGGTTGTGCCTTTGGCTTGTATTGACTGCCGGCGGAACCATTTATATTTCATAGGGTCAGATCCAAGTCCAAAATGTCAAAGGATTACACACTAGGACGTGTGATATCTATGAAAAAGTTGAAGTTGACCTATTAAAAATAGTCTACATGTATTGTAAAATTTTATTTTCATTATCTGATACCTTTCGACTACATTTGTCATGTTCGATCAAGTCATATCTTTCACTAAGAAGAATCAGCAAGTAGTCTAGTCAATACACTAGCTTCAACCTCATTTGCATCAGTAGTATAATAAGTGTCAGTAGAATAATAAAAATCAGATATTTTATGATAAAATGTGGTTTTTTAACCCCAGGATTAAAAATATTCTTTAACTATTGTCCTGTTGACGTGAAAAAAATAATATAAATTATCTTAAACAAGCTATTTTCAAATATAAACACGACAAAAATCCATAAAAATTATTTTTATATTCATGGATATCAATCTAATAATTTTCAGACATGAAGCTTTTTTGATTAACTGGTACACAGTAGATGTAGATATCAATGGTTTTTTTCAAATCATTTAAAATTTAGACGCTAAACTCTTCCCATTACTTGGGCAAAAACACAAATTAACTATATTAGACTGAATACATACATTTAATTAAAGTTTTAATGAATATATACATAAAGAGGCTTTGATATAAATACCTATTTATCCAGTTAGAAACACAAGTTTTACAAGGAAAAAATATTTTAAATTACACAGTTCAATCAGTTCATTACTTTCAATCAGTTCGCATTGACATGTAAAGCAAATTGATGTTTATTTGGTATAAATTAGAGACGATTAACTGCTGTAATTAATTCAGGTTGGCAAGCAATTTATTTTCGGCTAGAGCAAATCCTGAATGAAATACGAATCAATAATAAATTAAAGACTACGATTCAAATGATACGTATTAGAGATGAGCAGAAACTCGCAAGTTCCGATTTAATCGCAGCGATTGTAAATTCGCAATCGCCAACCTGCGATCCCTTTTCATAGTAAACTGCGATTTGCGATTGAAACATCTATCTGTCGACTTTATAGTTTTACACAATCAATATTACTTTAGTTGCGATTTGCGATCGCAGCTCCCAACACTGCCATTTTCGATCGCACAGGCATTGGCAATTGGCAATTGGCACACATTCCAGACATACGGTGTACAGCACAAATCGCAGTCTAGAATGTAGAATATGCTATGCTTTTTAGTGTGCCAATTTTAATACAAAATTTTAATATTTAAACCAATGGACCCCCCCTCTGTATCCGCCACTGGTTATGACTAATTATAGTTGCCTTCAGGTATAATTCTGATTGTTAAGATTTAAAAAATACGGTTGTTGACAGAGCCTTATCCCTTTTTTTTTCAAGGTTGTATTTGTTATATAAATTATATATTATATAGTCCTCCAAGACCTCCACTAAAATGACTATGAAACTTATTCTTTTCCTAATATGCAGTCTCGAAGTACAGTACTGTGCTGGGCAACCAAATTACTAATAAATCAGTCTTCTAATGCTTCGTCCTACGCGGGCGACGTGTGTGTCAACAGAGGGCGATGAGCGCAACGCGCGAAATATTTCGAATCGCATTCGATGTCGCTCCAGTCGCGCGACACCGCGCTCATCCCCTACCTAGTACAGCTTCGTGGGAGACAAAAGCGCCCGAATCGCGCGCTTTTGTCTCCTACGTAAAACGAAGCGCTATGTGGGGGACAAAAGCGGGCGATGCCAGCGACGCGACGTTATCAGAAAACTTTTTCTTATGAAACTTATGAATTAGCTCTGTTACGCTTCGTCCTACGTGGGAGACATAAAAGCGGGCGGGCGACGCGTGCGACAACAGAGAGCGACGAGCGACATATTTCAATTGCCTGCGATGCCGCTTCAGTCGCGCGCATCTCCTACCTAGGACAGCTTCGTAAGAAAACGTTGTTTGATAAATACGCGTCACTCGCACCGCCCGAATCGCGCGCTTTTGTCTCCCACGTAGGACGAACCGTTATCTATGCTTATGAAAGCATTGCCGACGCAGGACGATTTCATAAGAAAACGTTATTCGAAAAACACATGTCAGTCGTATCGCCCGAATCGCGCGCTTTTGTCGCCCACGTAGGACGAAGCGTAATAGATCATGTATTCCCAATTTATAATCTTCCATAAATTTCGTTACAACAACTCAAACAATATTTAAAATGACAATATTTTAATGCTTGTAGATTATGTACCGCTGCAAAAAGGCCCCCAGTGGAGGAAACTGGAAGTTTCTTGAAGTCACTACTAGCCAGCCACGGGCCTAATTATTTGGAAAAGTTATTTGGAACCAAAGCAAGAGACGCCTTGAAGCCACTAGGTGGAGTTGACAAAGTGGCTATTACTTTGTCAGGTATGTATTAATTATAAATTTGTATCTTCTGTATTTGTATTGTTGTGTTACGTGGAGCGATTAACGCTTGGAATAAGAAAGAAGTGTCATAAGAGTGAGTTTCCACCGAGAACGGAATAAAGCAGTGTAATATTTATTAGCCAAATAATGTATAATTAAACATTATTAATAATCTGCGTTGTTTTTTAGAGTCTCAGACAATTGAAGATTTTGGTGCAGCTCTTCACTTGCTGAGATCGGACCTGGAACACTTGCGTTCTGTTTTCATAGCGGTAGAAAACGGAGACTTAGGAATGTTAAAATCTCTCGGAATTAAAGACTCGGAATTGGGAGATGTCAAATTCTTCCTCGAGAAGCTGCTTAACACGGGATTCTTAGATTGAGGTCAAGTTGGACCTGCTGCTGAGGTAGTATATGCCCATCCGCAACCTCATTTACCCTTAAGCAAACATTTTTATTCTTATCTTCCTAACTAGACCTTTTTTATATATATTATGGGCATATATTAAGCAACATCCAAATTTTAAATACAAAAAACATTTAAAAACGAGGTGTTGCATAGTGTTTATTATTTGAACTTCGATTTTTCTTGGTAACATGGCCATTTTTTGAACACCAAAATCAGATGATTGTACTGAGGTCACGTTAAATGGGGTATTGTAAGATAATTTAACACTATATTTACTGATGTATTAAAATAAACTAAAAGGGAAAGGAAACCAAAAGAACTAGGCACCTGATTTATTCTACTTTGGTGAGACAAAAATGTTGGTCAAAACTCTTTCACATTTTTATCAGCAGCAGTGTCAGTTTTGAGATTTCCGTCCCTGATAATTTTAATGGGGATAAAACAAAAATAAAAAAATAGTTACATATATATTTTTAAACCGTTTATGTTAGAACGTCCCTAGATTTGAAGTGAAAAAAAGAATAGATACTGTAGATGTTGCATATACTTTTACTCTAAAATATTTTTATGTCGACATATCAGTCCTCCAACGTGTTGAAGACACATTGGGGACATCGCAACAAAACATATCATATAAATGTGTTGTAGTTTGTAAGATTCTTCTATAAGGTGCATTTGTGATCACGTTAGTGGTCCATTCTATGTAATTTAAACATATCTCGTCTTCTGTTGATAGTCGTTATATAAGAGAATGTAAGTAACATTGTAATATTTTGGAAGGTTTTATAGAATCGAAGTAGGCTCTAAGAGTTCCGGTTGCTCCAAGAGCAAAATCAATGGAAGACTTAAATTTCTATAAACAAATCAATAAATCGTAATTTATTCATATACTTATAGAAATATATCTTTTACCGGAAATACGCATACATATATGTGTGTCGAATTTAGTTTTGAAATTGGAAATGGTTTTATATTTTTATTAATAAACGAATCGGTGCAGAATAATAAAAATTGACCAATTCCGATTTTATTTTTTTCTGGGATGTACTGAATCAACTTATTTAGGGCCTAAAGCTGATTATTTACATCCTGGGTCATACTCTAAAGGGATTTTGTGATCAATTATATATAAATAAGCGATATAGTAAGCAAATCTTTCGTTAAGATATCGACCTGACACTTACCACCTTATTAACGAGGGATTCGTCTATTCTCGCATTTACAATTCAACTAAGCACAATCATATGGTGTACCGCACTTATATACATTCTTTAAGTATCATATCTATATGCGTCTATATATATTTATATAAACAAAATATACATAAATATATTTTTTCGACTACCCTAGGATGTTGACAACTTAAGGCACTATATATATTTACTTTTGTATTTTCTCTCGTTTCTGCCTAATGTTTCGGTAGCTATTTTAAAAATATTTATTGTCAATTTGTTGTTATTTTGGATGCGATAGAGTTCATCAATGTTCAAACATAATATTAGGTAGATATAGAATTAATACAAAATCTTTATGTATACATACATATCATACTTTTTTATTACGTGTATATATAGGTTTCTATTTTGAATGAAAGCATAGAAATGTTCTCAGCCTGGATTAGTTGTTATTAATGAATTGTTGTAAGTTATGTGCTTCGAAGGTGTGCAGTTTTGAGGCATAATTTTATGCTTTTGTTGAAATACATTTATTATAAAATAAATTTTCTTATTGAATAAATATATGTCAAAAAATATATAGTTATTTTAATTAATGTGTATTTTTACTGTATTGCATTATTTTGAGTAGATCTCCAGTTTCCAGTATTAATTTACTGGAGACAACTAATTTCCTAAAATTTAGTTAAGGTTGCATCAAATTCTAACACTATTAGTTAGTTCTACAACTTATATAAAATTAATAAAATATGGTTTATTCAAATTTTCCGCCAGGTTTAGTTCATTCTTGGCACACTAGATGGCGCCACTTTAAATTTGAAACTAAAAAAATACGCGGGAGTTAGCGGTCTTCTTTAGTATGTTCTATGTTCCTGTTGCCAGTTGAGCAGATATACATACAGAATACTTGCAGAATACATATGACGTGCACCCAATGCGCACCACAGTTTTTGTCATTTTTCAAGCAGAGTATTCTATATATGCCGTATGATAAAAAAAAACGGCGTTAGCGATGGTTATGAAATGAAAATCGCTGTCATTTTTTATATGGAAAATGTCATCGATTGTCATTTCCCAACCAACTGGACGCCATTTTTTTCGATCGAACGGTATTATAAATTCACAAATAATTCGCAACGACCTATGCTGAATTACTAGATGTCCGAGAATGTGAAACCACTGTTGATTTTAGTGAGTATGTAATGTATTACGAGCGTACCTTATACATTAATTAAAAAAAAATAAGTTGTAAAAATATCTAAAAAAGTTTAATGATCAATATAAAGCAGATGGCTATATTTTTACGAAAACATGAATCGAGCATCTGAACAAATCTTGATAAACGACAGAAAATTAAGAGAAGTTATTAATTATCCTGTAATAATTAAAATTTCTATATAATTTCCTAACTATAAATTTCATTTTGAAATAACATATTAGAATTAATTGTTTTAGCGCTTATGACACCTACATTTCTTTACTTTAGATAACATTTGAAAATTACAACAAAGACAACTACCTACGCTAGAATTGGATTTATTATTGATCTTATTTAAAATACATCAATCTATTGTAGGCTTTTTGTTTTCCATCAGTCTAGTTCAATAGCATTTCCATAGATGGCGGAGTAGACCTAAAACTGCTAGAATCCCTCACTGCTCACAGTTAAGGTCAATACATAAAACAAAAAGATAGATTTATTTTATCTGGTAACTATTAGACTATTTCGCTGAACCCTTTTTATATCTTTCTTAAAAATGTATTAACTATAATGCATTAAAAGCTCAATAATCAACTTATTGAGCTATATATGTGGCACTATTGACTTTTTCCTCCTATTTTTTCTTCTAATTTTATAAGATAATCTCGTCTCGTAGTGTTTATCAATTTTACTTAAGTATTATTTACATATTTCCTTTACAAAAGATCGTGCTGGTCGTATGTATACTGTGATGTATATAAAGATGTGCGGAAAAAAAACTCAATTGTAACAAACAGTTTTATTTGGTTTAAATTCAATACAAGTAGATAAATAAATGTCAGATTAATATTGCACATGACTGAAAAACACCTTACGTCAAATGAATGTAACAGAAATAACATCTGGAAACATCTTGTTTTTATCTGTTAGACAAAATATACAATACAGCTAAACGTTAAACGGCATTGTACAACAACTTGTGAGTATAATATGTACAACTACAGCAGCTAAAATGTATTTCGTCCATTTGAGAAAAGGCAAAAAAATTAACACATTTACGCTTAAAATACCAAAAAAAATAAAAGTATGTATCCGTTTGAATGTTTACAATTGTATTAATGCCAAAGGATATACTAATAAAAAAGAACATCAATATACATAGATATCGATAAAAATGAACAAAGTTATTCATAACGAAAAGAATGGAGGCCGTTCTAAACCAAACAGAACAAAAATTATAGACAATCGAAATTAAAAAGTAAAATGGCGACGATTAGAAAGCATTTACAGAAAAAAGAATGGTATATAAATGCACGATACAACTTTTTTACGTTTTTAAGTAAAATGTCATTGCAGTTTATCAATCTGGATATTTACATTTCTGTTGCTTTGCATAATAGTCTTCTTTAAAAGAAAATATTATTCAAAATTATTACAGTTTATCAAACATCAACTCAAGAACCTCTTAAAAATATATTAAATAACTCGTGCATAAGTAGCGCCATCTTTAAGCGTGCGTCGGCATTTTACTATTCTTATACAGGGTGTCCCGAACCAGAGGCTAAAATCTTATTACTAAAATACATTCATCAAATTAAAAAAACATATATACGTATGACTAAATAATATACATATATTTAAAAATTTTCTGAAAATACTTTTTTAGTCTTTGAAAGCTTCTTTTACTTTTTTAACTTGATGTTGTAGTGGTAGGTATGTAATATTAAACTATTTTAAAACATAAAATATTTTTTTATGATTGAATTTGTTTTTGCCATAAAAGATATGTTTATGTGACTCTTTAAACAGATTTTCGTTATTTTCAAGTATGTAATAAAACTTCTTGATGCTATTAAAATAATATACATTTTTTTAATAAACATTTTTAGCGTACAATAATATAATATCCGATTAATTATTCAAAAATCAATGACTAGGAGATGAATTTAAATAGAGATTATATACTTGAAAAGAACGCGAAACAGTCTACACATTAGATTGAGTGGACACCCCGCAAGTCTATAAAAATAAAACAGGTTGGTGGAAGTTGAGTCACTGGAAATTGTGGGAACAGAAGTAGAAAGAAGGCACAAGCAGCAGAAAAGGGCTGCAGCGGAGTGTATTAGTAAATGGCAAAATACCCTGTGAGTGTCGACAAAGACAATAAAATGTACCGCGCTGTGGTAGGAAATAATGGGTACAACGACATTAACCTTATTAAGACATCGAAGGTGTATTACACATACAAGACATACATACTGTCGAGGCACTGTGAGTAAGGCAATCCTACATTTAATCAGTGGAAAAGGGTCATCCGCAAACCGAGGCGGGCAGGTACACGAGGTACAATAATTTATCTCTTTATAAACTTTATACTATCTGTGCAAGTTGGTGCACACAACAGTAGATAAAATATATTATTATGTATATACCATACAATTTCTAATTTTATATATTTATTTTTATCTTTTTTTTCTCTGTGTACGTAGATAATTTATAACCATACTCTCTGAAATCACAAACAAATCAAAAGGCTACAACAATGAACACCCTAGTTCCTTAGGAAGCAGTACGTAAAACACCGACGGGACTGGTGGCTGTGGTGTGACCTTATGGTCCCATAACTATAACAGCCAGTGGACAGAGTACATTCGTAGAGGTCTGGGGAAAATGGGGTTACCTGCTCCCGCAGTCTCGGTAGGTTAGTGGCATGTTCGCTAAATAACAAGTGTACATTTTAAACGATAATCGACTATTCTAAAAACATTTATAAAAAAGACATGAACTCTATTACAAGACAGTGATGGCATTATCCCTGGTATACCATCTGTCTTCCCTCATATATACATACACTCACATATGTATAAAGATAGTGCAGTCTCAGAAAAATTCCCCTCACACTAAAGTCTCCCATCTAGTAGAATCTCTTGACAAGTCGAATCTGCATGAAAATGTTTTTGGAATGAAACTATAATTCGCTTCAAAGTAGCGAATATCTAAAGCATTGTACTTTTCTGTCAATATACATAAATACGCCTAATATCTAAAACATTAGAGTATCAAAAATTAACCCCAACAGCAAATATTCTCCATTCTTTATTCCAAATGAAAGTCGTAATTTTTAAATGTAATCTCGGATCCTGTTATATAGACAATTATGCATATCAATGAAAATAACACCTATAAATTGTGTTCTCACGGTTTGCTAACCATGTTATCCACTATTATTCATCTGCTGCTGGTTGATAACATGATTAGGAAAACGTTCGTCAAAAACTTAAAAGTGTATTTGTGTATTGTGGTTTATTAGTGAAATATTCTTTTTTAATAGGAAATATTTCGACCCAAAATACCCTGTTGGCAACAGCAATTCTTGGGTCGGTATTGAAATGAATGAATCGCTATGGTGATCTTGTAAGGCGAAGAGAGAAAAATATGTAAGTGTTTTCTCTCTCCGACGTTTAATTTCATTCGCTTAGAAAAATACTTCTCTCTGTTCAGTACATCATATTGTATGAACATATTGACTGTACTCTTCGTACACACGAAAATCGGTATCCAAAGCCAAGCATTGCCGATTGTGTATTATCTGCTATGATCAAATAAAGTCACATATATATATTAGGTTTCATTATTTTTTGGAATAAGAATATCAAAATTTGAAAACGCGTGCTTTTGAGGGTTTTGTTCAAACTATCAATGATTATTCTAGAAAAAAAAACATCGTTCTGCATAAAAATGAGAAAAAATAATAGGAAAGTTTATATAACAATCAAATCAACTTTCATCGAGACAGGATAGAAAGTACAATCAAAATTAATAACAGTCTTAAGAAGAAAAATAACAATTTGGTGTAAGTGATATATATTAATAAATTCATTGGCAAAAAGAGAAAAAGATAGACTTTCATTTGTACTTTTAAAAGTTATAACAAATTATTTGAATGCAGTTCAACTGATAACTTATTTCTGAAAGTAAATAGCTTAAAATTTATTTAAATGAAATTGTAACTCTCCTTAGGATTATGATCACAATTTCAATATAGTATATAAATATATTTACCTGGAAAATAGTTGAACTATTAAAAAATTACTGACTGTTATAAAATTGAGAAAAAAAATAGAGAGCCTCTTTTTAAGAAACTTAGCACCATCAATCAAACAAATCCTACTATTTTAACTTATTTAGCATTTTGATTTACCTTACATGAAATATGTCACCAAAAAAACTGTCTTTTTTTGTTAAAGGAACATTAATTTACTCGACGATTATATTTAACTATGTCTCAACATAGAAAAAAATCCGCAAAGCAAAGAAATGTTAATATTTAATCTTAGTTTTTGGTAATAATAAAAAAAGTGTTTTTTTATGTTAGTAATTTGTGCTCTGTTGAAAAATTGATATACGTACATAAATGTCACTGTCAAACATAAGTATGCTTATTTATTCTAAAATATTTCAAGCATAATTATTTCTTGTAGTTCTAATTTCAATTCTTGGATGTTATTTTTTTATTAGGATGAGGCTATATTTTATAAAATATATAATATACTTAAAACAGAGCAGAAGTTTGATAAATATATCTTCAAATTGCAAAACAAGTTGAAAACATTTTATATATTTGGATGTATAGGTGTGCAATTATTAACATTTGGAGAATAATCTAACGATAATATATATTTTCAACAACTCTTATATGATTTTGGTACCTACCTCCTGTATTATCACATCTACCTCAATAGCACCATTTCTCAAATAGAACAACAGAATTGACAGTAACAAATGTATGAATATTTTCTTATTTATATTAAATAGGCACAGACGCTTAAGCTAATGTAAGTCTTTGTATATTAGCGTTTTTGTACTCAATGAGTATTTTTCTGAGACACGCCCTGTATAATGGAGGGAGTTAATAACAACGCCCGATTATATGTATAAATAGAAACTATACAAATACAATTGTATAAAGATATGCGCTTCGGCATTTCTTGCCGAAATATAACCCACTCTATAAAAAAATCTTGTTCTCTTAAAATCCATTCTCTCTCATCATCTTTCACGCTTCACCTTTCATTGATAATGACTATTAAAAAAACAGTTACGTGTTGTATCATAAGTTTATCAATGTTCTTAATGTACAGTGACTGCCAAAAAATTCTCAACATATGGGATTTTTATCAATTCAGCTCACCCAATAACAAAAATCATTTTGATTGGCAAATATCATGAAGATAATTAAAAGAAAACATTTGAAGACGTAAAATAAAAGTAAAGCATTTTGTTTTAAGTACAAAAAAATCTTGAAATAAAAATATGGTAAACATACCAACAAAAAATTAAAGTTCCTGAAAATGGACTTAACATAAAATGTGACGTCGATACATGACGTAATATCAAAATTAATATTTTTTATTGAACATGCTAAACTGGTGTAACATTCAGTTGAACTACTCTATTAAGCAGTAATATTTTTTCCCATTTATTGAGAACATCTTGACGGTCACTATACGATCTCTTATGTTCCTCTTTTATTTTAATGTCTAATAGACTTGAATTGTATCACATGGATGACAAATTGGCAAATAACGCTTTATGCTGTCCACTTCCACATATCCACATTATCACTATGGCACTGATGTGTACCGCGGCTATAGGCCACCGCGGTTGGTTAAGCCCAGTCGGAGAGCCGTGGCCTTTTGTGCAGCTGCACTGCGTCGTAGTCGCCAGGGCCTGCTGGACCAGAGGGTCCCGAGGGAGGTGTAGGCGACGGCAGGTTGGTGGGGGTGACGCTGCCTGGGGTCGGGGTCACCTGACCCGCCGAGCTGGGCCTCGGATGATGGCCGTGGGTCAAATTCAGGGTCTGTCCGTGGGCCTGAGGGTGATGGACGGTAGAGCTACAATAAAAAATACTGACAAGTCAATCTAGGGTTTGATTCCATTTGCAATTTCATATACAGTAATAAAATGATAATAGTGATGATAAATCAAATGACAGTGCAAGCTCCACATCAGTATTTGGCTTAAGACAAACATAATACAAGGATAATACAAAGGGGTTCGAATTACCTGGAAAGGTGCGGATGGTGATCCCTAGGAGGTGATATCGGTTCGCTCTTAATTTTAACAGGCAGTGGCGAGCCCGCTGTAGGAGGCGGCGTACTGCTCGAAACGGCGAGGTGGGGCATGCACCCGCCACTGGAGCCAGGTCCCCCGCCGCCAGCGCTGTGCGCTAGTGACGACGCCAGCTGGGAACTACTCCAAGGCATAGACGTCAGCGCCATATCAGAGCTTATACTGAAGTCCTGTGCCCCGAAGGAAGTTAGCGTGCTGGGGTACCCGGCGAGACCTGGAGTCTGAAGTGATACGACCGGCGTGTTCAATGACGCTTGTGACCTGTTGTGCTGAAAAAATACATTCTGTTAGACATATACTTTATAAGGACCAATGTTCTCTTAACTAACGCTTAATGGCTACAGAGTGGTCTGCCAGAACCCCAAGCAAAGTACTCCTCTATATTTCGCAAACGCAGGCAATTGCAATGGTGAGTAGCTGAATAAGTTAGTAAAAGAATAAACTCGTTAGCGTTCGGAGTGCTGATTTATAAAATATAGAAATTTGAGCGGTGTATACCGGACTCTTGTGTAGCGATTATTTAAGTTTTTTTTTCATGAATTTATAGATCCTGTATAGTTTTTATACAGAATATAATTATATATAGAGCAAAATATGGCCTATAAAAACAGAGCGCCGAAAAAATGATGTTAAAAACAGAAATGGAGTTCTGGAGAAGAGCTGTTGGAAAATCGTTGATGATATCAGAACCAAACAGTTAATACTCACTTACAAAACAACTGCTGAAATGGACGCCCCAAAGCAGAAGGATAAGAGGAAGACCGAGAACAAGCTGGATAGACTAAATAAGGAACGGACCAAAACTGAATGGACCAAAGACAGCTTGATGATAACATGTGGAAACATAGAAAAGAGTGGCGGTTAGGAATCGGAAAACGTCGTAGAACGTTGTAAACCGAACGGGGTATAGTTTTTCATATTATCTTTGCTGGTTTTAGTACAAACATAAATAAAATTAAATTATAGTTGTCCATAAATACATACGGGAAATTTTGAAATGGTAAACGTTAGTACCAAAAATACATATGCAATAGACTAAAGCTATTAAAATGCCTTGAAAATTAAATGTCTCGATTTTTTTAAACGTCTGGCTAGAGCTGTTACAACTCTGTTGAAGGAAAAAGATTGCTCAACCAACAAATTCCAAGAACTAGAAAACAGACATTTGCTCTAGGTGTCTTTATAACATAAAATGAATAGTAGTAGTGAAATGTACAGTATATCTGTACAGTTTGTAAAAAAAACATTTGTTTACATTGCTCAAGAGAAATATGTTTAGACTGATGCGAGGATAAAAATATGTAAAAAGATTACTTTTTAATCTTTACCATATAATATTTAAAATAAAGTTTGCTTTCCGATTTATTATTGTATTTGTTATGTGTATATATTTTTAACTAAATCATGTAAATTCATAAAAGTATAGAGAGATACAAAAACATTTTGATTTCTATTATATTATGTCACTTAAAAACATGTGTCTAACAGACCACTCTGTAGCGATTAAAGGAAAAATATTTAGTGTAGCCGTTAAGGGTTAATACAATAAATAGAGAATGAATTAAAACTTACTTCTGCATATGACACTTCTTCAGCAGTAAGACTAGAGCTTAGAGGAGTTGGTATGACCACTCGCAAATTAGTTCTTGGACCTGGAGAATGCTGTTTAGGATGTTTTGATGAACTCATGCCAGGGCCTGGACTTGGTCCAGGCGAAGGCGATCCTCCTATAGGTGATGCCGAGTTGGGATATCTTAAATAGAAATTGTTACTGTGTTAAAACATATAAAATAATAATTTGTTAAATGTTTCAATTAAAAACATTTATTTTATCAGATTATAAGGATCTTGCTCACCCATTGCTCATTTCCAACATTGCGCCACTAGGATAGACTGAATCTGTTTCAGATGAAGATGGCCGTGGACTAATACTAGTGTGTGCCATCTGCGGACTAGACTGCAGCAGTGTTGAGTCACTGTAACTTATGTTCACTGGTACTGAGACAGGTTGAGAATAATTCGATGAACTCATATTAACCTGGAAAATAAAAAAAAATAGAAAATCGACTGTCAAGACTCACATAATAAAATTTCTCAAGAACCCAAAAAGTGTATTACTCTTATAAATATATATTACGTATGAAGGGTAATTTGATGAAATAAAGTTTAAATAATCCTTTTTCAGCTGTTCAATAATATATTCAAATGATTTCTTTCTGATCGTACCTTGAAGTTCAAAACTCAAAAGATTTCGTGATAATAGAACATATACAGATTGTTAACTGCACGGTTACTTATTGGGGAACAGAATGGCAACACAGCCTATGCTAAGCTGCCGACTCGACCCGTCACGTCGTCTCTCGACGAGCGGGCCGAGGTTGCCATATTTCAACAATAAAGCTCTTGCCGCTAGTAATAAACAAATTAACAACCTGTATAGTTTTAAAAAACAAATTATCAAAATTCTTTCCCATTTAATTTTAAATCTTTGTCCTTTTATAGTACTCGATATTAGGAGGATGATTTTACTTGGTCAAAAATAAAAAAATTATGTCTCTGACAATTAATAATGGTAATACTACAATGGTATATTATTTCTACAGAATGTCAAAGATAACAATGCTCCTTAAAGGGATTTTGTAAATTAGTAAACATGCAAGGCTATGTTTTAGTCGATGGTAACCGACCTGGTTTATACATATACTTATAGAGTGCATTCTTATCCAAGACATGCTGTATATGATAAGTTCTATGACTATATAACAATAAAACAAAAAAAATACTAACAGGACTAACCCTTTGCCCATTAAGCGACTGGTTCCTCTGGAGCATCATTTGGAAATCTTCGTCGATTTTGCTGTATTTGGCTTCTGTCCTGGGTGTCAGCTGATATTCCGTCTCCGGTTCTGGACTGTCCGGGCTCATCACTCCGTTCTTATGCTCCTTCTTATTTAGTGCCTGCAAGTGTCAGTGGACCAGCTCATGGAGAAATACACTAGCGTTTGCACGCACATGCTGGGGTATATGGTTTTATTTTATCATTTTGTTTTATATCATCCCATCAAAATGAAATTACCACTTTTTAAATAAAGATTCCAATAGTTATTTGCAAAATTAATGTTGTTAAGAACCCAAAAAGTGTTGCCTCTATGTATGTACAGTGTGTTCAAAATATTTGGATGGTATATATGGATTTGTATATGATTGATAAACCGATAATTAAACAGATAAACCTGTAATTAGTAAAAATTAACGAAGAACAACTGATCAATCAGCGGACGGTGTTTAAATTTGAGAAATTTACTATATAGATAAGTGTAGGTATGTAGGCTTGTCGTTTCCATAAGCGACCAATTATATGTCGATTATTTAAAAACGCTTTCTTGATAAAACATTCATATTGTTTGCTTGCCGTACATATCGTTTAGAAAAGAATTGTTCAATTTTATCCTAAAACATCCAGCGGGTTTACCATAAAACAATAAAATTGAGTATCGATTGTTGTAACAGAAAACTTACATAAAGGACGAACAAATTTAGGTGGGTGAACAATTACACACAGCCAAAAATGTAGAAAACAAAATTTATTTGGTTGGATTTATTGGAAAGGCACAAAAAAATATTATATATTTTCTGGTATTTTTAACTAAAAAGACACACACCTTAATATTTGTTTAACCTTTCGCAGCTATTGTATAGCCTTTTTACTCGGCTGCCGATCCGAAATTTTCACGCTATTATAGAGTATGAAAAAATATGGAAAAAATATATTTTTATTTCGTTTTTTATTCAGAAATACAATTTTTTCTAGTATGTCACTTCTAATGGATATGTCTATTCTATTCTACAATATGTTGAAATATAGTGTCTTGGAATAAAAATAAAATCGGAGTAAAACAACAAATTTTGAACAAAAAATAGAAAAAATGCAGTGTTTATTTAATTAAATTTAATAAATATTCCTATTACCCCATTACTCAATTTCCTATATTTTGAAATATACGTGTTGCGTTGATAATATTTTTATCATTATTACTGACTTATATATCATTATTACTGACTTATATCATTATTACTTACTCAACATAACTGTTATACCTGTACTAAATAAGGGTAATTGTAAGGACTAGTTAAAGGGCTGATATGTGCTAAAACCCATACATTTCTATATTTTTCTTCTCAAAAGCATTGTTTTCAAAAAGTAAAATATTAAAATACTGAGTAATGTAAACATACGAATAATTTTTATAAATCAATACCATAAAAAATCTTCCTAACGAATAAAAAATACAAGCAAAAAATATAATATTTTTTTCTGGATAAAATTACATTGTGCTCATAGTCTTTCTTTCCAATTAAACGACGTATTTATCAACAATGTCATGCTTTGTCTAATTAGAACATATACTTGTTTTTCTGGGGGTTATTAGGAGAAACATGAACTACAAAAAAAATATAAAAAAAGTAATATTTCCTTTAATGGGATGTCAGAAGTAAATAAAACAAAATCATAAAATATGTATCTTATAAAGGGAGAGGTAATAATAATAATTTGTTAGAATCTCAATACTGAAGCAACAACTCGTGTTAATAACAGGCAAATGCAGATTTAGATCGACAACTGACTAAAAATAAAAAGTAAAACGAAAGCATGACTAAATAACTTAAAAAACAAAAGTAAAATAAAAACACTAATTTCTAAATTAAATGTTAAAATTATCACGTTTTGCAGCTAAAGACATAATAAAAACGTTCGTCAAGTTTCATCTCGGATAACTCATTTTTAGAAAATTAGAATATAATACTATTTTAACCTCTTTGTAATGTTTTGGAAATATCTTGGAAATCTATAAGTATTTTAATTTACTGGCGACAAGATTACAATTTTTAAATATAAAAGAAAATTATTTTAAAGTAATTTAACTAAATAAACTGAAGAAAATTCAAATAATAAGAAAAATTAAAAAATGACACTGAAAACTCACAGAAAGTATAAGAACTATCTTTTTTTCGAATGAAATTGTAAAATTCAAATTAATTAATAGTTTAGAATTGAATAAACTAAAAGAGTAAGTTACCCAAAGACCAAACCTGATCACGATTCGACTACATCCGACTACAACTTTTAAAACGCAATTTGAAAGGTAAACAGAGTTATCGTGTTTTCTTTGCATCAGCCAAGTATTATTGGCAAGTTGCTGCTGGACTTGATGTACCTCGATAATATTTTTATTGGTCAACGACTCGTGTGGCTCATTGTACTCCGTATATTTGAGTAGTACTTTGTCCATATCGGTGCTGGCATACTGGTACAGTTTGTTGCTGCTGCTGAAAATGATGAGGGCGATCTCACAATCGCACAGTACTGACAGTTCGTAGGCTTTCTTCATCACTCCAAATTTCCGTTTGTTAAAAGTTACCTACAAGAAAATAACAGTTTTTTAAATAAAGCTTTTATCTATAGCCCCTCAAATCGTGATTATAATATTAGAAATGCAATCAGACACAAAAAGTCACAGTATGAAAGATATGCATTGATATTACTCGTAATATTTATTTAAAATTGTCTGCATATTTTTTATTAAATATTATTGTCTAGGAGGCAGTGAATATTTTCAGTACTTATTTTCCCAGTCAGCAATCCGATAGAATTATTCAGTATGTTATACAGGGTGTCCCAGAAATAAGTGAAAGTATTTTAAGGGGTGGTAGATCTCGATAAAAGAAACATATTTTCTCTTTATCATTTTTCAAATAAGTCTAAAATAACGGAGTTATTTTACTTTGAAAATTGCCAAAAAAAAATATTTTTTGCTAAAATTTTGAAAACCACTAGATCTTTTCTGGATTTTCTTTATTGTAAATTTAATCTACTACCAATGTTGCCATATATTATCAAGAAATTATGTTTTTCGACTAAAAACTAAAAAAAAATCTAAAAAATTTTTCAAGAAAAAACCGAATGGGTAATTTTCTGGCAGGTGAAAAATTGGATAAAAATTACTGAAACCTTTACCCTTATTTTCGCAGCTTGTCAAAATTTGCCAAAATCAGCCAGACCTGCTTTTGACATCTTCAGTCTATATGATACGTTAAATTGTAAGCAAGGGAAATAAGGATTACGGATTTCAAAAATCTAACAAATTTTTGCATCGGCAAATTTTGCATCGACAGACTGACTTTCCTCCACTTGGTATGTGCCAGACTGGTTATTTCCATTGATAAAACAATTCACTTTAATGAATGTCAAATATTTACGACTGGAAAAATAAGTGGACTTTTTTTATTTAGCGAACGAAACCAAACAAAACCAAAACACTGCCTCCTGGATTATTATTAATAGTATCACTTTTAATTCTCTCGTCTGTATACTGCATCTATCGATATTCCGAGTATCGATATTTTACTACATCGATATGTTGTGTATAATGATTTGGATATAACAAATCGAAGTTATAAGGAGTGTCGTACATTCCTAGTTGAAACTCATTTGAATAATTTATTTAATTGATATCATATCAGCATTAATTTCATAACATAAACCTACCATAGACGTATATTTTCTCCTATTAACAATGATAATATAATTTTTTTGTCCAATGAAGGCTTTTGAACTGGAGTCATTTGGAGAAACACAGACAAGTTGATATTATTTCTTGATATTTATTATGTGATGATTTATTTCCTTTTTCAACAAATACTTTTTCCTTTGAGTGATTATTGTAGGTTGACATTTGAAAAATGCAACCATACGCTCTTTCATACGCCATATGATTTTGCTTCAAACACAGCTTTTAAGAAAAAAGAATACAGTCTGCAAATTTTGAAACGTTGACCTTAATGTTTAATTATGATGTTTATTGAAACAATTTAGTATCAAGGTCATTCACAGGGCCTCTCTGTGTCAGTTTGTATAAAAATATATTAATAGGGATTAAAAGAAAAACTAGAAATCCTCAAAATTAGAAATATACAAAGAATCACCAAATTACTATATAGTAAAAACTTAAATTATGTATAAATCACGATTAACCTTTTTTTAAATAGGTAAATCTTGTAACTGCTTTGTGTGTTTTCAAAGAGAGAAACTAAACAAAAACAGTTTTTTTTTAAATCTTTATTATGAATAGATATATTAAAATTTAAAATCTCCAAAAATTGTAGTTTTTTTATTTAATAAATTCATTTTGTATATAAGAATGTTTGGGTTAAGAAAAATAATATAAAATGCATACTTGAAATGATAGATATAACACAAAACTGTTTTATATAACATTATTGCACTAGTATATGACATTTATGACTGATCTCATAGAAATTTTCCAATATTGTATTATCTTTTTACGTCAAATCCGATGAAGATATTTTTATTTACCAATATGTGTCACTTTAAATAATATTTTTCCAAAAACCTACTAATAGATTGCAAAAAGAAAATAAATCCACAACCTGAATAAATAAATAAACTCAGAACAATAAGAAGGCAGAAAAAGTTCAGAGTTAAAAAAGTTAAAAAAAAAACAAAAGCTTTAATCAAATAAGTTGCTACTTATAAAAAATAATACATAATATCTTACCTGTCTATTTCGTTCATCTGTGATTCTAGATATTTGTATTTTTTTGCGACCCATGGCAGCAATTTTGAAAATATTAATGAAAAATCCGTTTCGAGAAATTATTTAGAGTCGGTCGACTCAACTTCAATAAATATATATTTTTTCTTATAACTTTGGTCCTAACTTAGCCCTGCTTGGAACACCACAATCTGAAACAAGACATAACGTTATAATTTGAAAACTTAACTTTTTTAAGTGTTAGTTAAAACCGATTTTAGTTCTTTAAGTTAGTGGTTATTTTTCATTTTAATTTGATGATATTTATATGTTCTTGTGCCTCTAGGTTTACCTATTTCTATTAGATGTTTCTATGAACAGTTTTAGCACTCTTCAAGTGATCGGTTGTACGGAGTCCAATTTTTTTCAGGATTTTTTTACTTAAATACAAAGCTACTAACTCCTATAGTGCCCTAACTAAATACTCCTAACCAATGGGCACCCTACGCCAGCATCCTTCAGGCAGAAATCTACGCTATCGAAAGATGCTTACAACCAGGGTTCGGAAAACTACATGTTACTTTTAAAAACTACATAAACTACATTACATGTAGTTAATGTAGTTTATGTAGAGGGTGTAGTTTTATGTAACTTATGTATGTAACTTTCAAATATCAAAGGTTTGAGGTGAGGTTTTAATAAGTTGAAGCTTTAAAAACACATAATGTATTTAAGAAAACAGAAGAAATATGGCTTTAAATATAATATTTACATCATATTATCTCTATTACACCTCATACAAAGGAAAACCATTCATAATATCAATACATAGTTTATTAACGTAGTTTTTATGTAGTTAATGAACGGGAAAAGACGTAGTTTTTGAAGAAAAACTACACGTATATAGTTAATCAGGTAAATTACGTCTTAATTAACTACTTCCGAACCCTGCTTACAACTTATCTTAGATAGGAACTACCACTTTTGTTCGGGAATTTCTATCACCACCGGTGAGATGTCTCTGCATCAGTGCGAATTCCAGAAGGTCATATTAGAGCAGGGCCTGTTTTCGCAACAATAATAAACTCCTCCTATTCTGGGTGTCAGCTCACCAAGAAATTTATTTACTCCTTAGAATGCAATGAAAAAGCAAACGATCTAGCTAGTAAAGGAGCGAAAACTCCACTAACTGGACCAGAACCATTCTGTTTCCCAAGTGTAAACCAACTTGTAAAACTCCATCCGTAATCTGGAATGGGAATGTTGCAAGGGTCTAAGACACTCGAAGAAGTTTCTACGACCGAGAAAAATTAAAGATTCTCCTAGATTTAAGTAAGAACAATCTTCGGATTGTCACGGGGTTTTTAACAGGACACTGTCTCCTCAGTACACTGAACCTAAGAAACAACCGGCAAATGCAGATTCTGTGGCGAAAATGGGGAAACACCAAAATCATTGAATGCGCTAACACGACAACCATTCGTGCCATTAAATTTGGTACGACTGATATCGGAGATGGAGAACCAACCTCTGTAAAACCGTCTCAAATACTGGCTTTTGTCAAAGCCCTGAGGCTGTATGATGATATCCCGTTATAACCCCCCTCTCATACATTACATTTTACTTATATACTGTGCTCTAACAAATAAAAAAAAACTGTTTCTCTCAATCTTATTAAAAAAATATATATATTTATAAATATACTTAGATAAATACGTTTCTTAAAGCGTCGACGTAGTTATTTTCTGACCCATTAGAAAAATTGGCATTGCACCAATAATGAGTTGTAGATTTTAATTTGAACAGATAAATATTATTAGTAATAAATGTATTAAGGTGAAATAAAAATGCTAAATTTTAAATAAAGTAATCATTAAAAAAATAATAAAACAATATAATCCTACGTCAAAAAAATTGTAGACTTTGAATTTTTAGCAGGCTATGCTTTATGATTTTTTGCCTTTTGGCTGAAACACCATAAACAAAATTAGGTTAGTATGTTGAACTCGCTAGAAGTAACATTTTTAAAAATTAACTAATACCTTGGCAAAAATAAATATAGTTGTACATATTGAGATACAGGGTGGGTCTGAAAAAAGCGCAAATATTTTTAGGAGTGGTATATTTCGACACCATAAACAAGTCTATGGTTTTTCTCGAGATTTTTTTTTAAATTCCCGTTTTTTTTTCATTTTCAGTTAAAAAACATAACATCTTCATAATATGACAACATAGGTGGTAGATTAAATTTATAAGAAAGAAAACACAGAAAAGATAAAGCGGTTATTTTAGACTTATTTGAAAAACGGTAGAGAAAATATGTTTCTTTTAGCGAGATCTACCGGCCTTGAAAATATTTGCACATATATATTCTCACTACATAGTATATTTAAAAATGCAACCAAAAGTTACTAATGTCTTAAAGCATAAAGTGATATTAAAACAAATTTTTGGACCTATAACAGTAGGATAGGCAAGATCCAATAATATCATATTAATTTGAATTAGTTCAATTATGTTTTATTCTTTCTCCAGTAAAAACCACATATTTATTCAAAAATGTGTTTAATCAGATATATACATAATGTTTATTAGAAATGTTTGCCAGGAAAACTTTTAGCATATTATGATTATTATTCTAAATCCCATCCTTGAAACAGATAACGATTCAACAAATTCCTAAAAATATGCCAAGGTTAGATGAACATCCAAAAAGAAATACAAAAATTAGGAATGAGTGCCCTAAAATACTCTGTTTTTTAAAATTGTCTTTCTTCAAGAAAATTTGTATTTTTTTATAGAAACTTTTGGACTGAAACTAAATACAACGAATCCAGGCTTTCGGGTTAAATTCTTCATCATAATGTATTTATAGCATGACTCTTTAGAATCCCAAACTCATTTAGTTACTATGTGTTCAAAATTTAAAATGGTTCTGTATGAAGTTAGTCTTGAGCTCTAATTTCAAATTATTTTAATACTGAATATTATTGGTTAGGCAAAAATCAGTTGGAATGGAATCACCAAAATTGAGTGGGTAAGTCAAAAATCTGTCATATTAACATCCCTTCTAAATGTTAAGAATTTTCAGCTCTGATTTTATAGCATTTGAGGGACAAAAACAGTTGAATGTAATCGTTCAAAATTTAAATTTAAGAAGACGGAATTTTGAAAGAAATAAAAATGGGGGTAAGTGCGATATGGATTACACAAAATGACAATGCATCAACAGATTCAATCATCTGACCAAAAAATTGCCTATTTCTGACAAGTTCTATAAAAAATATGATACAGTAATTGCCAGTTTTCTCTTGACTTATCTGTTTCAGTATATATGTTACTGTAAATGTCCGAAATGCGGCAAAACCTAGGATAAGCGCGCTAAACCTAGGATTTACCAATGAATTAACACCCCCCAAATAACCACGCTAACCAACTCGGAATGCGGTAAAACCGCATTTCGGACATCTACAGTGACATATACAAGTAATCAAATATTGCAATTAGATTAGATTTTTTAGCGTTTTTAGTTTTTTACAGCCCTATTGTGTCCTCTTCTTGTCTTTTAAGTTAATATTCCCCAGTTCATATCCTTTTTAACTGTCTAATAAGTTGGAAACTAGACCTTCCTATATCTTTGTCAATGGCTTATCATTACTTAGCACAAAGAACCGCGCATTTTCCAGAATATCGCACTGGCATAGAATGTGTTTCTTTCATAGAACATTGTTTCTTCTTCTAGTTGACAGAATCGACAGACGGCTTGGTTTGTCAACCCCATCGGCTTTTTAGTTTTCCTGTCTTGATTATCAATAAACAAATGTTGACAATCACACTGTTTTGTGACCATTTTTGTAATTGATTTTGTAGCACCGCAGAAAGGTTCTGGGCCTAGGAACGACATTGATGAACCTTGTTTAACCCATTTATCTACATTTCTGCTGCCCTGGTGAGTGGTGATAGGCCAATTGTTACGTTCTCCCAATGTATGTTAAGGATGCATCCCATATTTAGGGTAAAGACGGTCCTACAGGCTGTAACAAATGTCAGACGTCCGGAATTTCCGGGAAAGTCCCGGATTAGGTAATTTTTTTAAGGTCAGGTTTCACGAAAAGTGTCAATCAAATGTTATAAAGTTCACAAAGCAAAAAATACACTTATACTTAACATTATTCTTAACAGAATAAGTATATTGTGTAAAAATTATTTTTAAACAGTCTAGTTTAAAATTCGAGAAAATAATTTCTTTGGAAATGGATTTGTGTGTTTGGAAACGTATGATCGTTTTTTAAACTTTCTATAATTAGTGTTAAATTTAAAAATTATGTTTATTCTTAGTAAATGACGTCGTCACAGTTATCATCGACTGTCATTCCCCAACGTTCTTTGACACCTTTTTTTTCGATCATACGGTATTTACCTTAATTTCTCTTATTTTGGTAATTATGGCTTCTTTTATGTTGCTTGTGCTTGCATAAAAAAAAGGTTTTGACTATAATTTGTGTTAGTTTAGTCTCCACACACTATTCCCGCAAATGTGGACTAGGAAGAGGGTGGTGATGTAGGGTTGCCAACTTTCAAAATAAAAAATAACATAGAGGACGAGAGGGTAAAAAAGAGACATTTTTTGAAATTTGGCCTAAATGTCTAGTTTACCAAAAATTTATGCCAACGGTATGCGATTGATTGTCTTTCTTACTCTCTTAAAAATATTTATACTCAAAACTTGTTAAAATAAAACAAACCATTTTCAACAAAACTTTTTTTTTCAAAACATAAGCTAACAGTAAATAAACATAAAATAATTAAACATGTTATCGCTTCCACAATAACAATTACAGATTAACACAAGATACAGATTAACAATTTTTTAAAGCATTGTGGCTATAGACGAATATTTTTTAGATTTTGAGTTTGGCGTGTAAAAAAAGAGGACTTTTTCAATACGAAAGAGAAAAGAGGACAATGAGATCAAAAAGAGGACTGTCCTCTGGAATAGAGGACGGTTGGCAACCCTATGGTGATGTGTATTTTTTTTTACTTAGACCAGGTATCTAGCTACAAGAATCTGGCAACCATACTCATACTAAATATGATCTTGTGAAGATTGTAATGATATAAGCATTAATTGATAATGGAGGACCAGTGGCAACAAATAGTACAAAACGTAAAATTGCAGTTTAAACAGAATCGCAGACATTTTCCTTTCTAA